GGGGGGGGGGGGGGGGGGGGGGGGGGGGGGGCGAGCCCCACAACCTGGGATATCGCCGAACCCTAAAAAAAAATATCCCAGTGCGGCCCTACCTAGGAGTTGGAACCCCTAGGAAAGCAGCATTAGTAGTAACAGTAACGCTAAATTAAAGCTAAGCTAAAGCTAAGCTAAAGCTAAGCTACAGCCAAGCTAAAGCTAAGCCACAGCTAAGCTAAAGCTAAGCTAAAGCTAAGCTAAAGCTAAGCTAAAGCTAAGCTAAAGCTAAGATAAAGCTAAGCTAAAGCTAAGCTAAAGCTAAGCTAAAGCTAAGCTAAAGCTAAGCTAAAGCTAAGCTAAAGCTAAGCTACAACTAAGCTAAATATAAGCTAAAGCTAAGCTAAAGCTAAGATAAAGCTAAGCTAAAGCTAAGCTAAAGCTGAGCTAAAGCTAAGCTACAGCTAAGCTCAAGCTAAGCTAAAGCTAAGCTAAAGCTAATCTAAAGCTAAGCTAAACGCTAAGCGAAAAGCTAAGCGAAACGCTAAGCTAAAGCTAAGCTACAGCTAAGCTAAAGCTAAGCTACAGCTAAGCTAAAGCTAAAGCTAAAGCTAAAGCTAAAGCTAAAGCTAAAGCCCAAGGGGACTGGGGGAACCGCGGGGCGGGGACTGGGGGAACCGCCCGGGGCGTGTAGCACTGCCCGGCCCCTTTAAGCTAACAGAGTAAGAACCCTTCTAGGCAGAGCCTAGGCAGGGAACAGTCTCCTGTCTCTCCCACCTTGCCCTTTCTTCTCCTGTCTCCTCTTCCTCCTGTTCCGTTCATTCCCCTTTTCTCCCTCCTCCCTCCACCCGCCGCTTCGCTCACAGTGAGAGAGGAGGGGGAGAAAACGTGAAGGCAGGAGCCCGCTTCCGGAGAGCCCCGGCGACAGGCCACAGTCAGCCGACAGACCCAACGTCCGCCGACCCCCGCCAGACGGAGTGAGATGGCATCTGAGATGTTGCATGTCCTCCTTCAACAGGGGATGCGTCGACCCCTATCCCAGGCTCCGTGAGGTTTTCGAGAGGATCAACAATTTGGGGCCCAACCCTGGGATATACGAGGGGGGGGCGTCCATCCTCGACAGTGCGTCCGAATAGCCCCCTCGGGATGTATCCCAAGATTCCTCCCCTTTTCTGAGCGACCAAACTTTTCTGGCGGAAGTCGGGGATTGGGGGAGAGAAATCGCCTGCGATCCTTCTCCATGATGCGCCCTCCCCCGGGGCCCAGGCTCCTGCTTGCGGACAGGGCGGCGAAATCGCCACCACGGCTTCCAAGTCCTCACCACAATCTGGCACCGTGCACACTGCACCCGCGGTTAGTAACTTCCATGCGTTCCTCCCTCCACTGGGGGTTGCAATGGCGTCAGCCTCTTGAATACACCGACAGAGAGAGAGAGAGAACAGCATATTAAGAAATGAGGATACGGCATGA